GATCAGGGTGGGGGTTCCCTTGGGGCATGGGGCAGCCTGGGCGAGGGGCCTGTGGTGGTTTGCAGGCTAGCCACGCCCCCCAGTGACCCAAGTGGAGGCTCTGGTATCTGGAATTTATTTATCTTCTACAATTGAAACTTTGTAGCCTGGAGCGGAGCCAAACCTTCTGCTTGCTCCGTGGTGGCAGCCGTTTCTGCTGGGACTTAAGTATCTTCTATAATTGAAACTCTGTAGGCTTAAGCAGAGGCCTGGGCTGGCCAGAGTGTGGGAAAGGCTTGGCTTCCTCCATTGCCAGGGGCAACCCTATCCTCCCGCTCTTTCCAGCTCCGTGGCTGCCACCATTTCTATTTGGATTTGTCTACCTTCTATCATTGAAACTTTGTAGCCTTGAGTGGAGGCCTAGGCTGGCAAGGGCAGGCGGAAAGCTTGGGATCCTCCATTGCTGAGGAAACCCAAGCCTCCCTCCTGCCCTCTGTGCTGTAGCCATCTTGGTTGGGTTTATTTGCATATTTTCTCCTGATTGGATGGAGGACATGGCTTATGGGTGTATTGGAGTGGTGGTCAATTTGCATATTACCCTTTTATTAGATAGGATAGTATGGTACAATCCTAGATGATAAAACCCTAATATGCAAATCTATTGAACGATGGAATGACTGGTCATTACGATGCATACTGACCACCAGGGGGCAGATGCTCAATGTAGAAGCTGCCCCTGGTGGTCAGTACTTCCCTACAGGAGGAGTGCTGCTCAGCCAGAAGCCAGGCTCATGGCTGATGAGCTCAGTCCCACCTCTGTGGCAGTGCTAAAAACCCCTCAGGAGATGTCTGACTGCTGGCTTAGGCCCACTCCCCGACTGGCCCTATGTATAGCCCACTATCCACCTGGCCCCATGCATAGCTATTCAACTGCCCTTGCAGGCGGACATCCCCCGAGGGGTCCTGGACTGTGAGAGGGTGCAGGCCAGGCTGAATGATGCCCCCCCCCCTCACCCCCAGTGCATGAATGTCGTGCACTGGGCCTCTAGTATAATCTATCTGATACAAGATAATATAACATAAAAGTCACCTATAACAAGTAGATCATAGATCTTTCCCATGTTATTGTAGAATAGCCACAATGTCTAAAGGACACACAGTGGTTTGCAGATCCCTCATAACTTTTTTCGATCTTGACCCTCCATGTGTTGCAGGAGCCTTTTTTGGGGGGGTCACCAGTGCCTGGCCTGAGGGAGAGTGGGGCCGGGATGTGGGACTTCAGGTGAGCCCAGCAGAGCAGCAGCTGTGGCGGGCGATGCTGCCAGAAGGTGACCATGCTGGGGCCAGGAGGTGGTGGGCACACCAGGGACAGCAGAAGCCCCAGCGGGGACGTTCACTGAGCCTGCTGTCAGCCGGCCAGAGCCTTCCGAAGCAGCGTTCTGTGCAGTGAGTCAGACTGGGAGGCACAGAATGGAGAGCATGACCTGATACCTCTGCCTCCTTAGGACATGGCGCCCTCTTTGGATCCTTCTGTGTGACATCTGTGCTCAATAAATACTCAGGTGATGATGGATTCAACAAGGCAGCAAGCAGCCAGCGGGAGGCTAAATGGATTTTAATGGCCTGTAAGTCGGCTCAGATCACAGCGGCTCTGAGTTGGGAGGGACTTGCTGCCTAGGGGAACTCTCCTGCTGATGCATGAGTACTTTCAACAAGTTCCCCTGTAGCCACTTGAATGCTTCCCATGACAGGCTGCTCACTGCCTCTCAGGACAGCCTGTCTCACTGCCCAGCAGCTCTGCGGATGGACGGGGCTTTCTCAGGGTTGGCCAAGAGCTGTTGCCTGTAAACCCCTGGTTGGTTTTGATCTTGTGTCTGAAGAATAACACAAAAGAAACCCGGTTCCTCTCCAGGCTGCACGCCCTGCCTTTGATTTGGAAAAGTTTAATGACCTCCATGGATGGATCCTGTGCTTTCTTTTCCACTTGTGAATGTTTGTCATTGTTTATGTGTTTATTCCACAAAGATGTGTCAAGCACTTTCTTTGTGCCAGGGCCTGTGATAGGTGCTGGAGTCACAATGGTAGGTACCAGGATTCCAGCTGTCACACTAGACAACCACGTAGGAAAGACAGGTGATAATTATGATGATGATGACTGGGATGGAATTCACATAACACACAACTAATCATTTTAGTGTGCAATTCAGTGCATTCATCATCTTGTGCTAGCACCACCTCTCCCGTTTCAAACCTTTTTCTTCACTCCAGAGAACACCCTGTACCCATTATGTCATTCCCCATTCCCCTTTTCTATCCATCCACCCATCCATCCATCCACCCACCCAATTATTCATCCATCCATCCACCCACCCACCTATCTATCCACCCACCCATTTATTCATTTGTTCACCTATCCATCCATCCATCCACTCATCTATCCATCCACCCATTTATTCATTCGCTCACCTATCCATCCATCCATCCATCCATCCATCCATCCATCCATCCACATCATCATCCCCTGGAAACCTTTAATCTGCTTTCTATCTCTGGGTTTACATATTCTGGACTTTCCATATAACATGCAATATGTGACCTTTTGTGTCTGGCTTCTTTCACTGAGCATAATGTTTTCAAGGTTCATCCATGTTGTAGCATGTGTCAGAATTTCATTCCTTCTTAAAGCTGAATAATATTTCATTATATGAATATACAACATTGTATATTACCTATTAATCCACTGATGGACAGTAGGATCCCGTCAAATTTCATCAAATTTCTGTGTGAATGTATGTTTTCATTTCTCTTGGATGTGTACCTAAGAGTGGGTTTCTAGGTCGAACTTTCTGAGGAACTATTAAACTGCTCTCACAGTGACCACCATTTTAAGCTCTTGCCAGCAAGACACAAAGGTACCAATTTCTCCACATCCCAGCCAATACTCCCTCTTTCCCTCCCTCCCTTCCTTTTTTTGGATTATAGCTAGCCTAGTGGATGTGAGGTGGTATCTCATGGCAGGTTTAATTTTTCATTTCCTTAATGAATATCTTTTCATGTGCTTATTGGGCATTTGTATCATCTTTGGAGAAATGTCTGTTCAAGTCCTTTGCCTATTTTTAAGTTGGGTTGTGTGATAGTTAATTTAATGTGTCAACTTGACTGGGTCATGAGGTGCCCAGATATTGGACAAACATTATTCTGGGTGTTTCTGGGGTGGAGGGGGTGGGGTGGTATTTTTGGATGAGTATAACGTTTACGTCAGCAGACTGAGCAAAGCAGATTGCTTTGCTGCCTGGGTGAGGAAGTGTTTTCACTTGGATTAGCTGTGTGATTTGGGAATGTTACCTAACCACTCTGAACCTTCATTTCCTTCCCCTGTGAAATAGAGACGGTTCTCTTCCTTGGAGGGCAGGTGTGAATTAAGAGGAGGTATTACTAAGCATCTGGCACTCTGGCACGTAGTAGGTGCTTTAAGGAGGAAGAGGCAGATTGGGAAGGCAGCTCTGTCCAGCAAGCCCATGGCATCAAGAGGAGAGACTCCCCAGCTCCAACTGTTCTCTTTCAGTCCCCCCCGCCCCCCAGTCCATCCTTGACCGCCCTCACGCCCTCTTTCCTCACCTACCTGCATCCTCTCCTTGCTCCAGGACATCCGATCCATCATCCCGCCCTCTGCCCACATGCTGACTGTCCACTCTTATCAAAGCCACTCAGGAGCCAATTTGCGGCTCTTCCTCCTGGCCCAGCTCCCTCCCTCCTCTCTCCCAGCCTCCCCAGACAGAAGGGGGCTGAGATAATGAATGAGGCTCCTCTGTGCATAACAACGAAGACAGTAGACTGTTTGGCTGATGAGCAAACTAAGAGGCAGTGTGTGGAGGGTGAGGATGAGGTGCTGGGTGGATGGCGGAGGGAGGAGGCTGTGGATGGCGGGTGGGGGAGGTGGTGGATTCTGAGTCTCATGACTGGGGCCTGCAGAGTGGATGCAGGGCAGGGAGGGCTTCCCTGGGCCCTTCCCTCCACACTGAGCAGAGTCTCAGGATGAGGTGTGGGGCAGGGCAGATGGGAAGCAGGGGCGTGGGGTCTAGTCCCTTCTCTGCTCTCACTTCCTTGTGGCCACAAACTTTCTCCACAGATGACACCTCACAAAATGGCCCCCCTCCCTGTCCGTGACTGGTTCAGGGCGGGACACGGGCTCTGGAGGTGGCTGCCGAGTTAGGGGCCTGGCTCCACCACTTCCTCGGGCTGTGATCTCGGGCAAACATTTCACTTCTCTGGGCCCAAGATTTCTCATGTAAAAAACAGAGATAATGGTGGGGCTGCGGCACAGATAGAACCACGGGATGGCTAAGCTCAGGGTAAGAGCTCCGTGAGCATTGGCAGTGGCATCAACGAGGCCGCTGAAGGAGGGAATGGGGACTTCACTGTTTTATTTTTATTTTGTTTGTTTGTTTTTTTATCTGGTTCTGCTGGAGCGGCTCGGGGGATCTTGCCATCATCAGCGAATCCAGCACCGAGGGCAGCCGTGCCCAGAGATGGTGCAGGAAGCCCTTAATTCTGATGATTTCACGGGAGTCCCTGGATCCAGCTGGTCCTGAAGACCTGCCCCTGCACTATTTAGGCACGTAGCCAATCAGGTCTTTGTTTTCTCTTCCTCTTTCGCTTAAGTCATTCAGAGTTGGGTTTCTGTCATTTGTAACAAAAAGAGTTTTAATGGGTATCCATCCGTCCATCCATCCATCCATCCATCAACCCACAAGTCCTAGCTGTGTGGACTTAAAAACATTCCTAAGGATCTGTAAAATGGGAGTCTCACCACCTCCCTATGGGTTAATGGGCAACCCCCATGGAATGCTGTGCTCGGCAACAGGTGCAAAGGAGGGGCTCAGTAGAGTTCGCTTTCACCCCATCTTTTCTGTCCAAAGCCTGCCCCACCCCTGCACAGGTGAGCCTGGGAAGCCAAGGACCTACTCCCGCCCTCGCCCCCGCCCCCGCCCCCTTGTCCAGGATCCTTTCAAACAGCAGAATCCAATTGGTGCAGTCTTTATTGTTTCCCCAGCATTTTCCAGAAGAAAGGTGTCATGTGAGGGCTGAAGGAGGACAGGGGGGAGTAAAAAATAACATAAACAAACTGAACAGCAACAGAGGAGAGCAGCGGGAGGGGCGGAGGTTGGGGGTCGGGGGTAGAGAGGCGGGGCAGCCAGAGCCTTTTAACTTTCAGCCACCAGAGTGGAGAATTCTGCAAAAGAAAATGACAAACAGGTGAGTCAGAGGTGGGCAGAGCAGAGAGACTGGCCATGGCCCAGCCCAACAGCTGGGCCCCCTGCAGGCCTTTCTCAGTTCTCATATCTGCTGCAGACCTGGCGTGATGGGATGAGGGGTGTGGGAAGGAAGGCAGGAAGGCAGGAGGGAAATGGTGAACCTACTGTGTCTTTCACTTCATGATGCCATGGAGCTGACAAATTATTAGTAAAGACAAAAATAATAGCAGTGGTGATTTTCTGAATGCTTATCACATGCTAGTCACTATTTTAAGCACTTTATATACAACCAGAGGCCCATTGCACAAAGATTCATACAATAGGCCTTCCTTCCCCTGGCTGCCAGCACCGGTTTTCCTCTGGCACCTGGGACCCAGGCCTTCGCTCTGGCCGCTGCCTTCCATCTTCGATCCCGCCAGAGTTTTCATTCCAGCCAGAGCCTTCAGTGTTAGCTCTGGCCCAAGCCTTCAATGTCTGCTCTGGCTGGAGAGCCGCTCCTGTAGCTCCCTCCATCCCCCCCCACCCCCACCCCCACCCCCACCCCCCCACCTTCCCCCTCATAGCAGGTGTCCCGCCCCACCTGGCCACTCTGTGCCTGCATATGCAAATTAACTTCCAACTTTGTTGGGTTAATTTGCATATAACTCCTGATTGGCTGGTGGGTGTCATGGAGATACAGTCAATTTGCATGTTTTTCTTTTAAGAGTGTAGATATCTCATTTGACTCTGACACTAATCCTGGGATGTGCATTGTATCATTATTCCCATTCTACAGATGAGGAAACCCAGGCTCAGAGTCCACCATTTTTACCAGGAAGAAGCAGAGCCAGGCTTCAGGCTCAGGTGTGTATGCCTTCGACTCAGCCCTTCCTTGGCCACTCATCTAGTTGGGCCCCACCTGCCCATCAGGGTCACAGACTCCCAGGCCCTGGCCTTGGAATTTCTGACTGAGGAGGCCTGGGGAGAAGGGCAAGTTATTTTACTTTTAGTTAGAGGGTGATTCTGGTGAACAGCCAGATTCAAGAACCTCTTCCTCAGGAGGGACCTGAGCACGGGACAAGGCACAGCTCAGAGGAGTGAGCACAGCCGCTGCTCAGAATAAGCTGAGCTCTGTCTCCCTCAGCTCCGCACTTAACACCACAAGCCCGCAGGAGACTGGGAGGGATCACCCCATTTCACAGAAGGAAGAACTGAGGCCCAGAGAGGAGAAGTGACTTTGCAGAGCCTCCAGGGGAGGGGAGGCCCAGGGGAGATATGGTCCCGGCCCCCGGGGAGCTTCTTGTCTAGTCGGGAGAAAGACAACGTCTGGCAGAAAGTGCTCCAAGCTGCTGGCCTCTCTGTGAGTCTCAAACACACTGAGGGTGTTGTCACCTCAGGACCTTTGCACCTGCAGCTCGCCCACCTGGTACGCTCACTGGACCCCCTCATTGCTGGCTCCCTCTCACCCACCTGCTCTCCTCCCACACAGCTCTCCTCAGGGGCCTTCTCTGGTCACTCGGGTGAAAGCAGCAGAACCTTCTGAGGGAAGGGGGCTCTGATCGAGTCCTGTAAGCAGATGCAGGGTCCCATGGGGAAAGCAGGTGGAGGGGAAGGGATCTCAGGTGGGGCTTAGAGGGAGGAAACCAGGGGTGCATTGGGTCAACCCAGCAGCCGGCCTGGGCTGCAGTGTGGCTCTGTCGCTGATGGGCTGTGTGACCTGGTCTCTAGCCTCATCGTCATGGCCGGCTCGGAGGAGTCAGGAGAGACGGGTGGTGCTCAGGCTCCTTCCTGAGCCCCCTGCCCTGTGCTCCACGTCCTTGCAGGTGTGGGATCCTCGCTGTGGTGGTCACAGGGGGTGCTGAGACCTTTATTTGACACCAGAGGTCGGATGCACGGAATTCGTGCAAGGGGCTGAGCCCTCGCAGACCCAGCTTCGTCCAGAAGGACGTCTGGAAGGTCGTTCGGCTGTCCGGTCTAATTAGCATATGACGCTCTTATTGTTATAGGTCAGGGGTCCAGGGAGCCTCTTCCCTGTGCTTTTTCTCCCCGGGAGACAAGAGAACCAGGAATGCCACGCCTCCCACACATCTGTGTGGCTCTGAGATGCCATGTCCCCAGCCTGCCGGAGACCTGGGCCCCAGGGAAGCCCCGTCGCCTCTAGAAAGAGCAGTGTCCGGAGTGGGGATCGCATGGGTGGGGTGAAGAGCGAGGGGGCCCTGCATGCTAGGAAGCGGACTGTCTGGGGGTCAGTCCTCCCCCCCCCCCCCATTTGTCATTGCCACTGGAGGGAGGGACAGGGACAATTCCTTGTGAGAGACGAGGAAAAACGGGGTGGCAAGCGGCTTCAGAGAGGCAGGCAGAAAGCTCTGGGTTCCCCTGTGGTTCGGCCTGCCCTCGGACTCTGGGCCACGCACATGCGCAGCTCCTTCCTCGTCACCCTGACCCAGTCAAAGGCTGGCGCTGGGGCCTGGGTGAAGGTGACGGAACCCCGTCCTGTGTTTGCAGCTCCTCTGTAAGCGGAGTCATTTCCAGGTCAAAAGGGGAAAAACAAAAAACCAGCCAGGCCAGCACGTGCTGTCGTCATGGAAATCACCTGGCACGGACCCCTGCCAGGCGGCAGGACCTGGGCCTCCCCTTCCCGGGTCCGACCTGGGAAATGGAGCCGCCCCTCCTGTCCCAGGCTGTCCCTGAGGACGGAGAGGCAGTGGCCGGAGGTGGGGGTCTGAGTGTCGCCTCAAGGGGGGGAGTGGGCAGGTCGTCCAGCTGGTCCCGACACGCCCCAGGGCCACGGGCTGGACAGAACCCAACACCAAACCCTACAAACCCCTCCACCGGCCAGGTGTCCCCGCATTTGCTTTCTCGGCGTGAGCTCCTACAGGTGGCTCTTCGGAGATGTCTTCTATCGTTAGCACTTTGCTTGGCATTGTTCATTGTATAGAATTTAAAATTCTTACTTAATGCCTACGTGGGGAGCGTTTTGCGTGTGTTATCTTATGATATCCACACCCCTGCCCCATGGAGGGAGGCTTTTGCCTGCATTTACAGATTGGGAAATGGAGGCCCAACGGTGAAGTAGCTGGACCAAGGTCACACAGTGAACTTGATTCAGGCTGCGTTCCGAGGCTTCACTCTTTACCCCAGAGGTTCTGATTTAGAGTGACACCTGAGCCGGCTTAGATGCGGCCACCCCACGATTCTGTCCTATTGGCCCTTTTTTATTTGCCTCTTATACTGAGCACTTTCTGGGATGATCTTATTGATGCTCTTACTTATCTAACCGGTCTCCTCCTACTGGCGTGTACAGTCCACGAGGCAGGAGCCCTGTCTTGTTCAGCAATAGAACAACCTGGCACATGGCAGGTGCCAGTACACCAATGCCAAATGGATAGACTGATGGGGGAAGGGAGGGATGAAGGGAGGGATGGAGGGAGGAAGGGAAGGAGAAATGGAGGAAGGGAAGGAGGGAGAGAGGGAGAGATGGAAGGAGGAAGGGAGAAAGGGAGGGAGGGAGGGAGTGAGGGAAGAAGGGAGGGAGTGAGGGAGGGATTAGGGATGGATGGAGGGAGTGAGGGAGGAAGGAAGGAGTGAGTGAGGGAAGGATTAGGGATGGAGGGAGGGAAGGATGGAGGGAAGGAAGGATGGAGCAAGGGAAGGGTGGAGAGATGGCTCCTTAGGGGTCAACAAGTACTGACTTCGGGTAATTCTCTCTGAGGCCCAGGAGGTAAGCAGGATGGTGCCCATTTTGTAGATGGGAAGAGAGGTCTGAAGAGCGAGGTGTCTGGGTCATGAGGAAAGTAAGAGGCAGCACTTGCCTATGATGTCAGGAGCATCCCGACAGGAATGTGGGGAGGCCGTCCCTGAGGGAGGGGAAGCATGGCTCTCGGCTTGGACCTGCCACTGAACCTGGAACACGGGCGCTAGCAATGCCTCCTGTCCTTGGCCCCGAGCTGCTCAGTCCTGGGACAGAGGAGACATGAACACCAGCACGGCCTCTCTGACCCTCACCTGGTCTCACCTGGAAACGCCAGGTTCTCGGCTGCGGGTCAGTGGAGCCATTCATTGCCCTCACCTGGCGGTACTCGGAGCGTCAGAGTGAAGGGGGCCCAGGAACACCAGCCCAGGGCTCTGGGCGGGGGGGAAGTCAGGCACTTTGGAGTCTCACTATGGGTGCCAGTTTGGACCCTTGGGGTGTTTAGGAGCCTCTGAGAACACACCCCTCTGCCCACCGGGATCCACCCCGAAGCAGCCAGGGCATCGCAGTGGCCACACCGCCTGGCTCTCTGCGGAGAGAGCACAGGACTCGGACTGTCCTCCCGCTCGGAGAGGCACTTCGTAGGCAAACGGGGGCAGGGCCACCTCTGCGCGGGCTGCATCTCCCTCGGGCAGAGCTCCGAGGACCCAGCCCGTCACCGAGCAGCACGCCTCCCGGAAAAGGTCCCCTCGACAGGGGCGCGTCCCTCAGAGGAAAACACACGGCGAACACAGACACCCCAGGAGTCTCGGTCACTGGCTTGGCAGCAGGACACTGGTTTGGGGAAAGGTGTCAGAGCACGGGGTCCGGCCTTGGCTCGGCCACCACTCATGTCCCTGGACAAGGCCCCTCGCCCTCCAGGTCTTGGTTCTCTGACCCGTGCACTGTGGGGTCTACTCACCCGCAGTGTTTGGAGCAGGGGAACGAGGAGCCAACGCCCCGTCCCCACTTCCTGTTTCCGTGACCCCGGACCAGACACCTGAGGTCACTGTGCCGCTGCTTCCCCGTCTGCAGAGTGGTGCGCCCTGGTTGCCAGAGGAACCGGCAGAGACGCTCTCGCCGCAGGCCTGCTCCATGCCAGCGCCCAGCACTCGGCAACAGGAGTTACCAAGATGCTTCACAGCTCCAGCCACTCAGGACCAGCCTATGCTGCCTGGCTGCTGCCGGGCACAGACTCTGCTAACGGCCGCAATCTTTGTATTTTTGGCCCTTGTGGCTGCCCCCACCATTTCTTGTCCCTGCCCGGCA